GTTATTTGGGTACCCTTACTATTCGACATTTTTAGTTGCAACCCCTATAATATCTTGTGAGGTTTAGCCAGTTAAATTAATATGATGGTTCTAAATCTATATTTTATGCGAAACTTTTATTACTTTAACTGTTACGTGATTTTATTATTCAAATATCTTGTCAACGTCAAACACTAAATTTATATATGTAATATTAAACCAACATCTCACAATAGATGCCGCCACGTACAAGTATAATTTTCAAAGTGTGATTTCCTTTCCTTAGTGCAAAACTATCTACACAATGGACTATCTACATTCTGTCCACCGCGAGGAATCGAACCCAGAATTTTAACGTTGTAAGTCCCTAAAGTGAAGACGTTTTAGAATTAAGTAGTGTATATACTACACACGTAATTAAAAATTGTCTTTCTGGAAGTTCCGTGGGTGAGATATTACGATTGTGTGCTGAGCATGTGTTCGAATACTGCACTGTATTATTTTTATATAATCTTATAAAGTTACTTACGTATTCAAATATACAAAAATCTTTCAAATCAACAAATAAGAACATTTTGAATAAATTTAGAATAAAGTATCAAATTATGATTACAACATACATCATTCATTTGGCTCAAGATTAAGTCCAAACAATTACATAAAGACAGGACCGGTCCTAAAATACAGATGGCCCAGGTGCAAGAACTAATGGTGGGCCACTCTGCTACATAAATTATATACATATATATGCATGAGAGATAGGAAGATTAGAGACAAAAAATGTAACCATGAATGATGCATCTGAAACTCAATTTTAGTAATGACCTAACCAGTTTTCAACCATAAAAAAGTAAGCAGGTGCAATAATAAGAATGAAAAAGAAAATGTACTTACAAAATTCTAGTTTAAGTGAAATTAAATTTTCTTACACTGTCACTGGCACAATCTTCTATGAGGTTTTTGAAATTGCAACGGTAATTTAGATTTATTTAGATTTTTTTTTTGTGTGTGTGTAGAGTTAGGGTAGAGAAAGTACCATACAAAATTTAAAGTTTTATGGAAAACAAACATTTGAAATGTTACAAGAAGGTTTTAAAGATTACGCCGATTTTTAATCTTAATATGATGTTGTTGTTGTTTGTTATAAAGTACAAAGTTAAACAAAGGGCTATCTGTGCTCTGCCCACCACGGGTATCGAAACCCGATTTCTAGCAGTATAAATCCGCAGACATACCGCTGTGCCATTGGGAGGCTCTTAATATGAAAATCACTTTGTACGCGGACTAGTAAAAAAAAAAAACTCTATATGTTCACGGAAAATCTTTTTTTAGTTTATTAAAAATACTTCACTGAAAATGTGATTTTTTGTATGTGAAAGACTTATAATGTTTGCTGAAAGTCTACCAAATGTTGTGAAGATATACATGCTATATTAAAAGTTAGTAGTATCAAACTATAAAGAGTTTAAACGAGTACAAAGAGGTCATGTGTTCAGTCAAATTGACCGAGCCCGTGTTGAGAAAGTGACAAGCGAAACGAACTAAATAGGGCTCCATTTGATTGTGATTCGGGGTCCCCGGGTGTCTCGCACCCGCTCCACCTCCCTAAGGGCCGGCCATGCTTAAAGAGCTACTTTCTAAAAAGTGAAACAGTGTAATATAAATGTTTAGTTATTAAATACTGCGTTAGATTTGTCGTTTGTAATTTTTAATATTTATACTTTAAACTAAACAATAAAAATAGACTTATTTTTCAAACTGGTATTTTTAGAATGTTATTTAAGAACAAGTATTAAATTATATAACATTCACCTCCTAGACTATTAGACTGGTGAATAAAAGTGGCATTTTTGCCTCATCTGCTATTTCATGAAGAATTAGCCTCAATACTTCAAAGAATTAGAATAACTAGAATTATTTTTTTTTTCATGTTTCATCATAAATTGTCAAAAGCTTTTAATCAAAGTAATACCATTTACAAGTGTAGATATCACTGGTGATATATATTGATTTTATTTGTTACATTTATCAATTTTTTGCTGTTGTATGAAACTTTTTGGAAGCAATTACAAATATGAAAGATACAGAGTTCTATTTCACGTTGCATGCTAATTTCAGTGAATTCCCATAACACAGCAGTTGAATAAGTTATATTAAAATTATTTTTTTGCCTCATCAAGTCGTTATAGGGTGCATCCCCACGTTCACTCATGTTCTGTCTAATAACTGTAATTTCGACAATAGCCCTGCAGCGTATTTTTCACCCCAAAAGGCTTTCTATAGGCTATATAGTATATGATGGCTACGTTTTCCTAGTAACTGTTTCAACATTCCAATTGTACATCTGCATCAGGTAAGTTGTCCAGAAAGTCTCGTAAGGAAAAGCATTGATACTCGTTTCGTTCTTCAGCCACTTGGGGTATGCCATGGACGAATATGAAATGGAAGCAACTTATGCATACATAACATGTTTCGCTTTCCCATACTGAAATCTTCCCTTATCTTGTAGCGTACGGATCCCTGGAAGACGTGAATGGCTTTTGCCAATAATTCTTGTGTCTGTGAATTAATACGTGTGACAACACGCCTTACTCTTCTTATCACGGCTAGGGGTACAACTTGTTACAGGTCTTTTTCTGGATGGTCCTTGTGACTGTAGTTGATCCATATTCCATTGTGTTCCAATATCATGAATTACAAGGAATATCTCAATTTTGGAAATTGTAAATCCCTGTCAGAACACATATTGATGATCTTCGTTATGAATATTTTACGTCGGAATGGTCTATTATATAATTTTCTCAAAAGAGATTAATTTTCAATCGTATCCCACTACCTACTTAACGCCAATGTCAAAACGTAGTTCTGATATATTCTGTTCTACTGTGACTTTATAATGGTTGTGGTTTTCTCGTAACTTGCTGATTTGCATATTCAAAATCATTTTAATATAACGTACTCAACCCTCTCACTTAGACTATACATTTTGGCTTATTATATACTGATATATTATTTTATACACTTACTTAAGTCCTTAAACTAAAGTAAAGTACTGTGTACGATAATGTGAATATTCAACGCCTAAAATTATTTAGGTTAAAATTCTTTTTTTTTTTTTACTAAATCCTTTAGGAGTATAAATAACAATGTTTTTCTTTCCATTGTGCAAATCTCGTATCTTTTAATGGTCTATGCTACTCATCTTCTAATGTAGTTATAGTAATATCATTCATACTTATCAAATTATTAATAAATGTTATTTTACAACATGAATGCTAGCAATAAAATTAATAAACTTGTGGTTACGTTTCGTTCAAGTAACTTTATTATATTCAAGTATTGATATTAAAATTATTTATAAACTTAAGGATCTGGACGCCTGTAGTTTGGCTATTCAAATGGAAATATGATCACACTATAACGGTTTCTCTATGAAATATTCAAAGCGTTGTAAGCAATACAAATCCTTTTGAGAATACCATAAAACATTTTGACCGTAGAATTTAATAGTAATATGTGTGCATTTTATACAATGAGATTGATAAATAATTCCATTATCTAATCGCCCAATAGGAATTCCAGAGAAAATGGTGTTTTTTACATTAAAAGTTAGTTTGCTGAATTTCACACAAAGCTACTCGAGGACTGTCTGCGCTAGCTGTCCCTAATTTTAAATTGATAGACTGGAAAGGCAGGTATTTAACACCAGCTCATTACCAATGAATAATGGAACTGATCGTCACATTTAATTTTCCCACAGTACCACGGACAATCATATTCGGTGATGGGATTCGATCCCGCGACCCACAGATTGAAAATCGAGTGTCCTAATCACCAGAGCCAATTATTAACAAACATTGGGATAAATATTACCAATTAATGGCATACTCTGCCACAACTAAGGAATCCTGCGCTCTTCATTCATTCCAAAGGGATTAACAGTGCCTATAAGAATCTATACTTTCTCACACTGACATTTAGTGTCTACAACCTTTTCGTTCAAGGTTCGCACTCTTTTTCTTCTCTAGCCCTTTCACATTTATTTTATTTCCACCGTCTTTCTTCAGCCACTTAAGATATTAGCTTGTGCTACAATAACTATTCTTTGTGGATATGCTGAGACGCAAATTAGGATCGAAGAAGCAGTATACTGTGTTTAAAATACACCACTAATGATGTTTATGATAACATAACAACAATACTGTTATACATTATGTATTCCAGTGCTAGATATTTATTTGGTCAATTAAATTAGTCTGAAGGCTCATATTCATAGAGAATACTTAAAGCAGAGAAATTATCCAGAATAGTTTCTTTCGTCTCTTTGTTAAATGACATCACTTCTAAGCAAACACTTTCCCATCTTTTCCAAAAACAGTAATATTTAGCAAGTTCCTTTTTTCCATCTTGCATAGATATTCAATAGGACTTGAGTAAGTCAAAATTGTTGAAATTTTACGTGAAATCATTATTTACTCATGTTCATATTCACATTACTAACGTTCCGAATAAATTTGATGTTGACTTCAATCTTGAACAACACATACAACTATCTTCAGAATTCCATAATAATCCCATGAGATCACACTTTTCACCCAAATACAAGACCACCTGTCAAAAGTGATTTACCAATGTTTTTTGTCTTAAATGTTCTTCCTATCATGAATTTACTTTTCATCAAATAAAAATATTAAGCTTTTCAATACATTAACACATTGGGAAAAACTCCCGCCTCCCATCGTAACTGAAACAAGCAGTAAGATAAATATAAAGTGGGTAAAGTTTCCCCAATTTATTCTTTACTTGCCCACTTTTACAATCCATCATTACAGAGTTTGTCTTTTAATATCATTTTATACACACACACAAACAAAATGTTTTAATCAGTTATTTTATTTAGTAATGATCTCCTTACACTAAACAAGCTTTCCAATCCAGAAAAAGGCAGCATATGATCAATCACAAATAAAGATGGCCAACTTAAAACAGTGACATCTCTAAAAAGAATTTTTTAAACCTCCTTTATAAGATTCAGCTCGGAAATAAGTGTTATGCAGATTAACTTATAGGTTTCTTAATTATGTTGATAAATTTGAACGTATAGAAACAATAATGAAAGACATTGCAAGGTCAGGTTATTTTGAAACGCAAGTACTATACACTAAACTGAAACATTTCAAGAGTACAAAAATACTCCATGATGCTCTGGATTAAGTTGAAACCAATCTTTGGAGAATAAACCTTTACTTAGCATGAGATGATTTGTTACAAAGGTGCAACAGTTGTTTAGTTAAGATAACCTGAATTGACTTGTGTACACTCATGGTCATATAGACGTAACAAAAGAAAATTCCTGGACCCATAATCAAACTTCTGTGCATGACTGAACTTCCCTTTTGGTTCATTAAACGTGACCCCCAACAGAAATGAAATTGAATTTCTTTTTTTTATTTACAACTGGAATTTCTGAACTTTTCAGAACCATGACTTAACAACAGCCATTTTTTTCAGTACTATCCACGGTTTCAATTTGTTGCTTGTCATTTACTCTCAACAGTAAATGTAATTTCTAGTGCTTTCTCCAAACAGTCATACCCAAATTTGTTTTTAACCAAAATATAAACTTTTTCTAGCCACTCAGTAAAATTTGTTATTTTTTAAATTCATCCCATCTTTAAATTGAATTAAGATAAATTTTTAATGGAATGGTAAAATAGGCAATACCCCCCCCCCCTTCTCCCCAAACTACTGTGAATAACAGTGGACATTAAAACAGAAATCAATGATTGGCAGAAAATTATCATCCCTATTGGTAGGAAGCTCAGTGTTTTGAGATTAACAAATTAGAAAAATATTATTTAAATTTATTAATACAAACTCAAAACAAATAGATCTCACTCTGTGGTTCCCTACCCACTTTATTTTTTAAATTAACTATATTACTAGGTTCGTTTCAGTTTACTATTTTTATAGATTCATATAAAAATCTTACAAGTTGACTGGGCCTGCTGCATGTCTTTATAATCATTTAGTGAACATAACTAATTGGTGTATGTGTGTGTGTGCGCATACACAAAAATTATAAATATACATTTGCACAACATATTATACTGCATATATCAAATACTTTAACTAGATATATCAAAGTAACTAAATGACAACTTATGCATATCAAGAAAAATTTACTAGAATATTTATTAATATATTGTGTACAATTCTACAAATATTTTAGCCAGACACAGACAACTCTTTTTAAAGACACATCCTTCCACTTAGGAAGATCATTACAGTATAAAATAAAAATAAATTAAGTACACAAATATAAACATATTTATGGAATGCAGAAAGTTATCTGGAACAAACAAGCATTGTGCAAACTGTCAACCAAAAGAAACTTAGCTCTTCAGTTTTGATGGAAATTTAAATAATTCAAATACAAATTTAATTCAGTGTTACATAAAGCATCTTTTAAAGATTTGTCTTAGCCCACTGATTATTCTTTGCCTGATATTTTTTGTAACATAACTGCAAAATGAAGAAGCATTTTAGAAACATTTTCTGTGAACAATACTGGGTCCAGAATCATCATACTCTTGCTTGGAGATCCACATTTGCTGGAATGTAGAGAGTGAAGCTAAGATTGAACCTCCAATCCAAACTGAGTATTTTCTCTCAGGGGGAGCAATTATCTTAATTTTCATAGTGCTAGGTGCTAAAGCTGTGATTTCTTTCTGCATTCTGTCAGCAATGCCAGGGAACATAGTGCTACCACCTGACAGTACAGTGTTTGCATACAAGTCCTTACGGATATCAACGTCACACTTCATGATAGAGTTGAAAGTTGTTTCATGAATACCACAAGATTCCATACCAAGGAAAGAAGGTTGAAATGTAGCTTCTGGACAACGGAATCTTTCATTTCCAATTGTGATGACCTGGCCATCAGGGAGTTCATACGACTTCTCTAAAGATGATGAATTAGCAGCAGTACCCATCTCCTGTTCAAAATCCAGAGCTACGTAACACAGCTTTTCCTTAATATCACGTACAATTTCACGCTCAGCTGAAGTAAACAAAGAATAACTTTAGATATTAAGCCAAACTTTACAATATTAGAAATGTTAAGATTTAAATGAAAAACCAAATGTGAATTTATTAAAACCTATTTTTGGAAAGAATTGTCCACTCACAACTTGTTTTACCTTTAGGATTGCCATCTTTCAATTATCAACAGCACAGAGGGGAGGGAGGTAAATCATATTGTGTGTTCCTTTTTATTAAAGTACTTTAAACCATATTAACAAATTTTGCAAGTCAGTTAATACACTGTAAGAATGCAATGCTTATCAATGTATATGAACAAAGACCTTCTCAAATTTATAATTCAAAGCTAAATTATCAACCAATAAATTTAGGATTGTTTTGTCATTATTGCTTATTCTCTACTTTTAAATAGGTTACCTCTAAACTTTCTAGTTCTACATATTTGTATGTCTCAAGATGTTATTTGTCATATTAGATCTTTTTAAGTTTTTAACCTTTTTACCAAGTTTATTTTAACAGCCTCAGCGACTATTCAAAACTGGAATTGTTATTCAGGATACTAGTTGACATACAAAGTCACAACAATCTGGACTGTATTTTCCCACAGAACCTTAACAAGTTTCAACTTTAAATCTTTAAATTACATGTGCCATGCTTTACTAACTACATTGAAGTAATAAAGGACAACATAATTCTTTGACTATTACTAAATGCAGATGACATCTACCAGTAACACCTCAATCCCAAGCTATTTGCTCAAGCTTAAGAAAGGAAACCATTCTATTGGATTAACATATTAATAAAGTGAAATCAAAGGATGCCCAAGGCAGAGAATAGTTTAAATATTTTTAATTAATTGAAACAGAATGAGAAAGCAAATCACCTTAATATAAAGGACATGATTATATAAAGTAATAGAAATTATATGAAAACTGTAACAGAAAACACTTAATTTTCCTCCTTTTGAAAACACAGGCTTCTAAGAATGTAATATACAAAAAAACAATACCTGTAGTAGTGAAACTGTAACCACGCTCTGTCAAGATTTTCATAAGATAGTCAGTAAGATCACGTCCAGCCAAATCCAACCTTAAAATAGCATGTGGCAAAGCATAACCTTCATAGATGGGCACAGTGTGAGAAACACCATCACCACTATCCAACACAATACCTGTGGTTCGACCAGAAGCATACAGCGAAAGTACTGCTTGGATGGCTACATACATGGCTGGAGTGTTGAAGGTCTCAAACATAATCTGGTTAAATCAAAAATATTTTTCAGTCCCATTAGAAATATAAAGCACAATGAGTTATCTTTCATTAACTCTCCTCATATACTAATTCAAGTATTGGAATGAAGTTTACTTCAAAAATGTGCCAAAGAAAGGCATTGTGATGCTCGCTGTACCCAAATATCTTTACAAATGTTTAGAACTTCTATAATTATATGAAACATTAATCAAGTTAAAATCTGAGAACAAGAAAGTATAAATAGGCAAATTAGAGTAATTATGTAAAAATGTTAACCTTTTCATAAAATAAATGTTTCCTAAAATAAACTTGTTAAAATGCTTATAGTTCACATGTATAATACCAATATATTTTTAAATGACTTTTGGTTAACACATGATGATACAAAAGCTAACAACCCCCCCAATAATAAAAACTGAAATTGAAGTAAATGACTTGTTTTTAATCCAAGTGTATTGCAATTGTATAATTCAAAAGAATTACATTACGTACAGTACAACAATAGTAGTAATTTTAAGAATTTCTTAAGTAAATTAAACAGTACTCCTATGTCTACACTACTAAATTTTAAATTTCATTCTATTCATACAATAATCATGAAATAAGTATGAATTTTTACATTCAAATCAAGTTCAGATTAAAACATTTTGTCTATTAATTTCATATAACAGTGCAACTGCAACATTTAAAAAAAATTAATGAATGTATAAAATCTGCACCTAGAGCTTTCTTCACGGTATTTGTAATGGCAAACATGCTAATCTCAATTCCATGATTTAAACTGTTTATTCAGTGATCACAGTCTGCTCTCCTCACAGCAGTTATGGCTTTGATAATATTAAAGAAATCAGTTCTGTATTAAAGTTTAACAGACTATTTTGCAATACATAATTATTTAAGTTATTTCACGAAATTTTCTTTTTCATACTGAAAGCTATGCTTGTCAGTAGCTTCTAGCATCATAGCTATTGTCTAGCTAATAGATGCAAGTATGGACATTATGCTTTTGCAGTCACAGGGACAGCATAAAATTATATATATATATATATTTGCACTCGATACTGAAGTTTTACGGTTTTCACTAACTTAAAAGAGGAGACATAACAGTAGCTTAAAAACAAACAAATCTTAGTACTACGCACAAATTTGTAGTTTTACTACAATATGTTTGAATAAATAAATAAATATTACAAACAAGTGTTGCAAATTAGTCCAAAGTAACAATGTTGAACAATAAAAATTAAATAAGTTTTAAAAATAATTGAAAACTACAGTATGACAAAAACAGAATTAAAAGACTTCAATTTTTAAGATATAGTCCAGGTGCTTATGTGAAGTTTAATATGCATAGGAAATCAAGAGAAACGCTACTTTCTCAATTGAGTACATCAGTTAAGATCTGCATTCTGAATGTTCAAATAACAGTCTATTAATAATTACCTGGGTCATTTTTTCTCTGTTGGCTTTGGGGTTAAGAGGAGCTTCCGTCAATAATACAGGATGTTCTTCAGGAGCAACACGGAGTTCATTGTAGAAAGTGTGATGCCAAATTTTCTCCATATCATCCCAGTTTGTTACGATACCATGTTCAATTGGGTACTTCAGTGTGAGGATACCACGTTTACTCTGGGCTTCATCTCCTACATAACTATCCTTCTGACCCATACCAACCATTACACCCTGAACAGAAGAAAAAGATTGGCAAATTAAATTTAACCTTAATACATGACCCAACATACTATCATGAAAACAATTTGAGATATTAGGCTTCTTAACTGTACCATTACATAGTATAAACAAATGCTGTGTACTAATATCAATAACAAAATGTTCTGTAATAGCATATTAAGTTTCTTTTTTTTTTTTATTATCTTCATAAAGACTTATTTGTTTTCAACTACATATATAAAAAGATAAAAAAATAAAATAGCTTCTGAAACTAAACCTTATTCCTATGACTGAACTTAATAAAATTATTTATTTCTTCCCCAAAAATATCTCCAGAAATGAATATAGAAAATACTTTTGTTCCATTACTAACACAAAAAATACTACATAAGGAAACTAATAAAATCATAATATACACACTCAAAATTTTAGATTCTATAATATTCATATAACCTTACAAGAACCTTTACCAATTTTACCTTTTTTGTTTTTAAATCACATTAAATAGCTTCAAGTAACTCTCATAACTAAGTAATATTGACACACAAATGTAGAAATTACATGTTAATTGTCACTCATGAATGTGAATGCACTCACCTGATGTCTGGGTCGACCAACAATAGATGGAAATACAGCACGAGGAGCATCATCTCCTGCAAAGCCTGCCTTACACATTCCAGATCCATTGTCAATTACAAGTGCTGCAACGTCGTCGTCACACATAATGTACTCTTTTGGTGAGAATAAGTTATCTGTGCAAAATTAAAAAATCCAATAAAGTAATCAAACATACCTATGTTTGAAACTTGATAAATAAACCTACTACAAATAATCCAAGATTCATCACAGTACAATTAAAGATGCTGTTAAAATCATGCATTAATTTTTTTCTTTTTACATCAAGTACATTTAACAATATTGATTTAACATACTCAGTACAAACAGCCAACAAAACTATAATGTTGAAACTATAAAAAAATAAGGAAGTGATTAAAAATGTGATCATGAAGAAGAGTAAGCCTGCAACTATAAATCAATATTTGAATCATATTTGCTAGATATTTCTAGCTCTACTCTAGTCAGAATGAGATGAAGCTTGAAGAAAGGCACTGATAGTGATACCTTCTGATTCTAGTAATATAAACTGTGATAGTAAGCACCACTAATTACAGCAAAGAACAGTCATACTTCAGTAATATTTAATACAATATATAAAATACTGATGAGCTTGAAAAGTAACTTCAATAATCTGCTTTCTTAATTTACCTAGCCAAGGATTGCAAAATTACTACTGCAAGTTCATAAAACTGCAAGATATTATACTGAGTTTTCCAAGCTTTTATCTTATTAATTAATAAGTTACAGTTACAACTCAAGGTAAATGCATTCTGACACTGACTTAGAATATTGTGCATAGTTCTGGTCACTTTTCTTTTACTAAGAAATGATACTGACTTTTTGGAAAAGGTTCAGAGGAAGGTTACAATTACTAGGATGATTTCAGGGATTGAAAGATTATCTTATGAGGATAGATTAAGATTTACTTTCTCTTGAGAAAAAAAAGTTTACAAAATTCAATAGGATAAAGGCCTTCCAGATCTTTGTACAATATTCTGAGGACAATACGATGAAAGGATACAAGTTTAAGATTTTGGAAATACAAGCCAAGCTCCACTTAAAAGGTTTTTTTTCTAACAGGGTAACTAAGTTTTGGAATGAGTTGCCATCACCAATAGTGATTGTCTATACTTTAAAAGTAAAAGAGGAATCAATGCTTTCCTGAAAAATAAAAGGTTGGTTTAAGATTTTACACTTTTTTCTCAAACATGAGACCACCTTGAACTTTGAAGTTGAACTTGAAGGACCAAATGGTTCCTTGTCGCCTTTATTAGTTCATGTTATAATGTACCAATAAATGCCTAAACCCTAACTGAATTATGTTCACCCTACACAGGAAAAATTATACATAGTTGATAATGATATGCAATGTAAGCAAATGTTCCAACACTTTAAAACTTTAAATATACGTCTAAATCATCAATAAATGAATCAATACGATATTCATAAGCCCACTAACTATAAGATACAGATCTCGTATTGGGTTAATTAGAAAAACTTTAAAAATGTGCAACTTATTTATCTGTGTAGTAATACTCCTAATAATATTATAAATACTATTAATAGTGCTAATACTATTGTATTTGTAGGTTTATATTTAATTTACAAATTTAAGTATTTAACCTCGTTAAATTAAAACTACATGTAAATGCCCAGCCAATAGTAACAACAGATCATTGAGCCTTGTATTACTATTATTGTATTAGTAAAGACATGGGTTATCACCGGTTTGGCGGGAAGTAAGCCAAGAGATTTACTTCTAAAAGTTCTAGTACTACTATTAGTCCTAGCTAAAGAACATTAGGCTTTGGAAAACTTCGTCGCTAACACTAGTAACGGTAAGTTAACGTTACCGCTGCGTCAGTTTTAATTTTATATTATAACTTAACACAGTCACTATATACTGGAGAGGAAATTGCACCTTTCTTAGACTTATTACAATTTACGGCTTTACACTTTTACAATAAGTAAGATTTGTTTTTAGAACAGGTACGACGTTACGATCACTGGTGCGATCATTCTCAGACTAAACTACACAAGTTTTAGCTGTAACTTGTAAGTTATAATAAAATATACTTATTCAGTAAGTAAACTCAAAACGAAACTATTTCTTAGACTATAGTTTTATCTAACCCACAAGTTCAACCCACGAAAATAAATACTTCACATAACCAAACTTTACATTAATAAACAAATTACAATTTTACACTCACAACCTCTAGTGTAGCTTCCTCCTAACCGTAAATATTTCGAATAACTAAAACCAACGTACCAAACAAGCAGCTTTTAAGTCTTCCTCTAGTCCAGCAATAATTTGTACCGGTGACATTACTAACTTTTTACCATATATGGAACTATGCAACTGTAACACAACAACTGATTTGTTATATGATTTGTCTACTCATGTTAGCTTCGTCATCAGTAACCAATCATAAAATGCTGTTTGTTTGATGTCCATATATGGAACAAACGCTACTATTTGACCTAAAATTCCGTTTCAAGTTAGGCATAATAACTATATATCATACCAGAATGAGTAAGTTAAACTGACTGACAGAAAACGTTCCATCATGTAACGTGCAACGTACAATTAAGAAAGCGAGCCTACTGGATGTAGTTTTTAGTTAGATAACTGTATGTGTATGAATTAAGCTAAAGTGAACAGCTATAAATTACAGTACAACTTATAAAACTAAAACACTTAGCTTAATATTAATACTGGCTTTTGCTTCCACTAAAGTTTTAATTTTCCTCAATGATAAGTTAGAGCAGTTTTGAAAGTTAGATTTATTGACAGTTGATGAAGTGCCTCATTTCATATAAGTTATCTACATAAATATAACAATACTGTCTGTTGTCTGTTCATGTAACTACTTCGCAGGGTGTGGATGGATCTTCATCAAAATTGGTTTGCAGTTCATGAAGTACATGCGGGGGAACCGATAAATTGTCAGTTTTGCATTTTGCGGTTTTTATTGGCGTTTCTTTTTTTTCACTACCTCACCTCCTGTGGATGAATCTTCATCAAATTTAGTATGGTGGTTCATTGGGTCCATGGGGAGATACATACAAATTTTCAGTTTTGTATTCTGCATTTTGCGGTCTTCATGGGCGTTTTTGCTATTTTTACTACTACTACGCCCCCTGGTGATGTATCTTCATCAAATTTGGCATGAAGGTTTGTTAGATTCATGCGGAGTTACATACAAAATTGCGGTTTCACATTTTGTGTTTTGCAGTTTTTATGGGCGTTTTTTTACAATATATATATAGGGAAGAAACGTTTCATGTCCTGAGATAATCTTTCATTAATCATTAATTTACATAACTTCCGTAGAGGAGACAGGTACTCCTGCTAGTTATTAATAAACTTCGGGAATGAATGTACACCCCTCCTATTTTACTTATGAAAATTATGTAGTTGCGTAAAAAAGCTTCGTACAGCAATTCACAATTTTTGTAAGCCTATGGAAACTGAATACGAACTCACATAATTGTGTGCTGCCTAATCACAAACATAATAAAATCATACTATAACTTGGAAGAGGTTTGATTGTTTGTCCTCTAACTCCTCTCAGGCTTTTGCATATGGATCTGTCAAACATCGTTTAATGAACTAGGAATGATTCGGGATGTGTCAAAAACTTAGTTTTATTTTAAAATTCACAGATTTCACAACTTCAAAGATGACTAAATATAGATCAGTCAATGAGGTGGCCATTAGGGGTGCTGATGGGATTTATCCAGTTCCACTTTTATTACACGGGGTATACATACAGTATATGTACTTTCAATCATAACTGGCATATTTAGATAAAAACAAGAACACTTTTTATATTCATGAGTGGAAAAACATTAATTCTACAATTGCATTTCGTTTTCAAATCCCATCAATCATTTGAGGGATTTCTTTTTCACACATTGTTTATGCATACTTTCAAGATAGACGTATATTAAGTGAGATGTTTTAAAGTCAGATGTTACTTATTGCTTTTCGATAAAATAAACTAAAACAAAAGTAAAATGTTATTTAAATAATCAAGCCCAGTGGACATGAATATTTTTATTCTTATGTACTTTCAATGTATGTATTGCCTCTGGCATATTTCGGGAAAACAAACACATTGTTATATTCATAACTATTAAACATTTCGTTTCCAAATCTCCTCAGTCATTTGAGGAATTTAATATTAATTGATGCAAACACCTCATAACAACACCTAACGACAGTGTATGCTTTATTGTGAGACACCTGAATATACATATTCTTTCTTTTTTTTGTATTTTACACGTCAGTCAAGGTGTGATCATGACAAAGAAAGTAGCAAGAGAAGTTTATCGAGAACGGAAAGGACACCTGAAAGAATAAAGTTTGTGAGGCTTAATGAAAATGAAACTGTTAGGTCTTCGAGAATTGAACGTCAAAGGAAGCGACAGTGTGAAAGAAGTTAAAGTGAATCAGAATCAGAAAAATCAACAAGATTTGTTACAAGAGGTGTAAAGGTAAAATGAGACAGAGCAAGAAAGAGTTGCGAGGCTTGCTGATAAGCGACAAAGACAGGATGAGTAAAGGGAAAGTGAGATTGGGCAAAAAAGAGAGAGAGAAAGAGAGATCTGAGAGTTGCTGGGAGGATGCAACGACAGGATGAGCAAAAGCAAAATGTAACTAAGTAAGAAAGAGCACTGGGTATTGCTATTCAGAGGCAAAGACAAGTGAGGTTTGGTGATCAAGCTATGAGACAGTGCCAGTTAATTAAGGAAACCCAAACAATTAATGCTATCATGTCAAATCAAAGCTACAAATCCCAGTAAAGACGTAGTCATGGATAAAACGAAATAGTTCCCCTTTTCTATAAAATCGATAAATGAACCATATAAATGATTTGTTAACTTTCATAAATCTCTCACCGTGCATCGCACTGGTACATATACTAGTATTTACCAAATCCATCTTGCCCAAATATTATTCTTTGGCGGTAATTCGTTTGAAGTAACAATACATATTTAAAAAGATTAACATAAGCCTACAACAATTACAATGAAGTAGCCGTTTTTGAAATAAAGATAGAGAAATAAAACGACTTTCATTCCACGGAATACTAAAAAACTTTATTTCAGCCAACGTTTCGCACTTTCGACCTCATCAGAAATAGTAGTACAAGAACAATCAAGTAGTCAGGTAAAATAAGATTTGTCATACAAATTAAGAGAAGTGTGTGTGTGTATGGGGGGGGGGGCATCTGCAGTTAATGAATGATACTATAAAGCGGGTTTTGTCTGTTTGTCAATCAAAAACGAAAAACAATCACATATATTAATATTTTCTTTTGTTTGCATTAATTAAAATTAAACCTTAGTTAGATATGTATTCTGTTTTTTCTTAATTAATGATACTCTGTATCTTCAATTCAGTTACCCTAATTAACTCAGAAATAGTCTTTTCCCCAGTGGCTCAGCAGTAAGTGTAAAGGGTGAAAACGTTAAAAACCGGGTTTTGATACCCCTGGTGGATACAGCACAGATAACCCACTGTGTAGCTTTGTGCTTAACAAGTACAAGCAAACAAATAGACACAGTGTATTTAACACAGCATCTTACATATCAAAACAACAACCTACTTTTTTGATCCTTAATTTTCTTAAATCATATAAAACTTTGATTTGTTATTCTCACAAACCTGTCAAATTATTAATAACCCATGGTGCCCAAAATATCTCTTAAAATTTATTCAATTTACTGCCTACATATTAGGCTAGCTGCACTCTGTCCGCCACAAAGAATCCAATTCCGGATTTAAACGTTGTAAGTTCTTAAACTTACCGCTTACCCTAACAAAGTTTATTTTAGAGGTATCAGAATTAATCAATGAACTTTCCTTCATTTTACATAAAGCCTGCTGTCTGTTACCACATCAGCTAGATTAAACTATTTTTTCCCAAGAAAGGCATAGTTGTATCGAGCTGTGGATCAAACGATCCAAGGTTCGAGTCATGATGCTACTAAAACACAGTCCGCACTTTCAACTGTGGGCATATTTTATAATACCAAGTTCACTCCACAAGCCCACAGTAGCACAGCGGTATGTCTGCGGACTTACAACGCTAGAAACACAGATAGCCCAATGTGTAGCTTTGTGCTTAACTTCAAACAAACAAACACTACGCTTTGTGTATATGTAAAGAAAGGGTTTGTGTTAAAAGTTCTGTAATAAAGTTTGTTTACGTGTATAGCAGTTCATACTCTTTCATCTTTTGTATGTTTAATTAATCTGCTTGATATTTTTTTCTGAAGAAAGCTTGAAGCCAAAACGTCAGACCAACAATAACTTTGTTTTCTATAATTTTTGTGGATACTTTTAGTTCTACTTGACGTTCAATCATAATTCATATGAATTATTGGGATGTAAACATCAACTACATCCAATAATATTTAAAGTTTAATTTTTAAAAGTAATATAAAAGTTAAGTAATCTGAATTTTTACTTACTTATTAGGGGTCTCTTATCAACTAAACCTACAGGTTATTTTTATAACCAAAACCTACGACTTTCGCTTTATAAACTATTAGGTTCTATTATTTTCATACAGAACTAGAGTAGTAACTTATAAACTAAGACATATTGTAGATAAATTTTATAGTACATAAGAATTATACAATACAATATTCAACTTAATGTTTTCCTGATTCTTAAAGCTTCTTTTAATTCTTTTACAGATAGTTTTAAAATAATCCTGGCCATTTTTAGCCACACTCGTTTGCTATTGTGTATATTTGTTCTTATTAAATCGTTATTGTACGACTTTTGTAGTTTTGAGTAGAAGAAGCTATTTATTGATGGTCACTCTCTGACCCATTTGTCTAAGTGTCTTTCCAAAAATGTTCCTTAAGAGTATTAATCCACATTTTCCAAATCTAGATGTTTAAGTGGTATTAAGTGTGTGATATGCATGCATATTGTATATCTTCTACCTCCTTTCATTAACATAGGAATTTGATTTTTTTAATTTATCCTGTTTCTTTGTAGTTTTTGCATAAACATGTGGCTTTTGTTGTTTTCTAGCAGATAGTATATATTTTGGATGTTGCTGAAACGTTGCTTATTGTATAGGATATGTCATAAGCAGCAATGCCCTTATCTGGCCGAGTAGATTATATCTAAATGTTATAGCTTTTGCATTTTCTAAGTCTCTAAGAGAATTACCAGTCACGTGGTGACACTTATTGCTCATGAGTAAAACCAAGGTTTCCTGTTTAGTACAGAGCATCTGTTTCAGTCAGAATAGATATATACATAGATCTGCATGATTAG